TGGTTATCTTCTAGAATAGGCTGGAACCAGGCTAAGCTATAGCTACATTTAGGATACCAAGTCATGTCATTGTTAACTATTGCCATCAAACTAACATACTACACTGGAGAGTAAGAGTTCCAAGACATTCAGAATACAGCAATGGGAGTCACTGGTGTGCTGGGTATCATTGTGTAAAGTCTAAGGAGAGAACTGCAAAATCTCAATCTCTCTTAAGGGTCCCCACCCAGAGAAAGCCAACTTCGTGCAGCTTCCCAGGTTTTGGTGTCAAGGGCTGATTCCTAGCCAGAGGTTGCCAGCTGCAGAGGGAGGGGCTCTATTTTGGGCTGCCTGCTGTCCCTGAGCCTGGCCAAGTCTGGTTTGAGCAGCATGCAGCCCCAGTGACTCACACACCCATGCAAACCGCCTGTGGCTCCGTGGCATGGCCTCAGAAAGCCAACCACAGGCCAGCTCCCTCCTCACCCCATTACACTGGGATAAATAAATAAAGATTCCGCCAGCAGCCACACAGCCTGATAGCAACCAGATGGAGAAAGAAAGGCATGGACAGGGCCAGGGAAGGAACTCCCTCCAGCAGAACAGCCTGCAAGGGGCTACACCAACCCATTCACTCTAACCCTGTCTTTAACATAGTCATACTGCCATGCACAACAATTCCTTGTCTTTTCTTCTACTTCTAAAGATGCCTCTCAGCCTCTAGTCTTGGGCAAAGGTGTATTTGAGGGATCTTAGCCTTTGTAAGAATCACCCAACAGATACCATGCCCAGCCCTGGACCATCAACATTAGTGGGAAGAGTTCCAGTATGTCAAAGCTAGAGAAGATGTTTAACCATTGGACAGGGGTTAGTTCCCCATCTTTTTGCTTTAATTCTTGCCTTCAGAAACTCTGATTTAGCCAGATACACACCTTTAACCCCAGCACTCAGGAGGCAGAAGCAGGCAGATGTGTGAGTCCCAGGCCAGCCTGGTCTATGTAGCAAACTTCCTCTTTACTTGTGTTACTAGCGATTGGTGCCCATCGGTTCTCTGAAAAAGTTTGTTTTTCGTTGTCGTATTTCATTGTTTGTTTGTTTGTTTTGTTTTTTAAGAAAAGGTCTCTATGTAGCCCTGTCTGGCCTAGAATGAACCATGTAGACCTCTTTTGAACTCACAGAGATCTGACTGCTTCTGTGTCCTGAGTGCTGGGGTTAAAGGAGTTTCTTAAGGGAAGGATTAACAAGAAGATCAAATATGGGGGTAACCCCACCCAATGGTTAAATGCCTTCTCTAGCTTCGATATCCCAGAGCTCTCCCTGCCCAGCTGCCCTTGCGCTCTGTGAGCCTATGGCCTTTTGCCTAGCAGTATTTTCAATGGGAATAGATGTGGCCCCAGGCCCTGACCACACCACCCTCTGACACTAGCCTGGCCTCCTTGCCTGTTCATCCCAAACTGTCTCCTAGCTTGTTTATTTTCTATTCGATGTTGCTTATTTTGATGGCACATCCTTTCAGTCCAGTCTCAGGTGACCTACTGACCCTTTTATGTCCTGTTTATAGGACCCCAGGCAAGCACAGCAATTGAAAAGATGTTGTAGCTCCACAGGCCCAGTATCAAACCTTTCAGTTCTAGCAACTATAAGAGACATTCTGAAGAAGGCATAGGCACTCAGGTCATATCGCGGTAAATAAGGATAAGGATAAACAAATAGGCCGAATAGATGTTTATTCAGGGAGAAGTAACTTACAACCTAGACAGATGAACACCAGGAAATTCAACCCGATCCTCTCCTGTCCGAGTCACGCCAGAAAGAGAGCGCCTTACTTGGCCCCCTCCGACCTCCTTCCACAGGTCACTTCCGCCCATCGCTCCACCCCCCAATGGGTGTGGTCAGTGCTACAGAAGGACTATCTCACTACAAGGTCACAAGAATTCTCATCGCCCAAGGGTTCATGATTCCCTTCACTGGTATGTACAACCAGTTAGATTGGTGAGATACAGTAGGGATGGAGATGACCTTAAGCATACAGACTTCAGCCACTTAATGCTGGGGCTTAGTTTCCTTATTTTCAGATTAGATATCTGAGACTGGTGAGACGGTTCAGAGAGCAAAAGAGCTTGCCACCAAACCTGATGACCTTGATCCTTGTGGTAGGAAGAGAGAAATGACTCCCACAAATTCTCTGACCTACACACACACAGACACACACACACACACACACACACACACAGATACACACTCACACACACACAGACACATACACACTCACACAGAGACACACAGACAGAGACACACATGCACACACACACACACAGAGGCACATTTTGTTTTACGTGGTCTTGCTATATAAGTTGCTTGGTACTCACTTTGTAGCCCAGGATGGCATAAAATTCATGGCAATCCTCTTGCCTTATGACTAGGGTTTTACAGGCTTGAGCCACACACCTGACTCGGATGCTATGTTCTGGAACCAGCTACTTCAGTAATTCTAGTTCTCTGGGATCTGAGTGAGCCACAGTCAAGCCTTCAGATTTAAAAATATAAATGGAAAAGGTCTGAAAGACGAGTGGCTGGAGCCTTCTGGTTTTTTTGTTTTGTTTTTTGTTTGTTTGTTTGTTTTTTCAAGACAGCGCTTCTCTGTATAGTCCTGGCTGTCCCGGAACTCACTCTGTAGCCCAGGCTTGCCTTTAACTCATTATCCTACCTTAGCTTCCCAAGAACTGGGACTGCAGGCTTGTGGTACCTCACCAGAGAAACTTTCATTTTTACACGCATACAAACACACACACACACACACACCAACACCCTTCTTGGGATGGCACCTGATTCTACATGCTTCCTCATACAGGGCTCTCTCTTCCCTAGCATCATGAAAAAGATGAGCCTTCAATTTTACAAATGAGATAATAGTGGTTCTGAGGGAAGTGATTTGTTCCAGGCTGTAAAAATAAACTTTGAGCATAACAGACTTCCTCAAATACAACTCTAATAAGAAACACTGTATCCTTGGGACATATTGCCACAGTTTTCACAAGATCCCCTTGGCACAAGTGTATTAAAATATTTATTCAAAAAACTTATTAAGGCCCTACTACTTCTATCCAGTACCATCCATGTCAACGATACAGGAATGTATCTGTCCAGTCCTTGATCTCAGAAATGTTCACAGCTCAGTGCTTGAACATATAAACAGTAAGAGGTACAGATATAAGTCATAGCACTTTAGTAGCAGGGAAGAATTACTCTTAAAAAGAAGGTCTAGAAAGCTGAAGTCGATGCTTAAAAAGTTGAATAGAGCCAGGCTGAGGTGGCACACACCTTTAATACCAGCACAGGGGAGGCAAAGGCAGGTGGATCTTTGTGAGTTGGAGGCCAACCTGGTCTACAGAGAGAGTTCCAGGACAGCCAGGAAACCCTGTTTCAAATAACCAGAAGAAAAAAAGAAAGGGTGGAAGAAAGGAAGGGAGGGAGGGAGGGAGGAATTATCATCTACAGAGTGGATAAGGGAGAAGGCATTGGGCATTCCTCACAAAGGGAGAATGTATGCAAAGACCCAGGCGAGCAAAAATAGCATTGGGAAAATTAAAAGTCATTCCATATAGCTGGAGTCATTCCACATAGAGTAAATGTGTAGAAGTGAAGCTGGAGACGTATGAGGCAAGAGAATTAGCTTGCACAGCTGAGAGAGAGAAGTAGCATGTCATTCCTGGACTGTATTAACCTCCTTTCATGTTCAAATTAATAGAGAGAAGGCACCACTGAGAGAAAAGTGGCCTACAGAATCTCTTACATGTTCCAGTTTAATAATATTCCCCCCCACACAAACACACAAAAACTAACACCCAGGACCAGCAAGACGGTTCACTGGGCGAAATCACTTGCCACACAATCCCAGGAAACCATGTTGTCAGGGGAGAACCAACTTCTGAAAGTGGTGGCGTGTGTGTCCCCACTCATGCACACCACTCACACACACATAATAATAAGTAAAGCATTTTTGACATGTTTTAGGCTTCCAGTATAAGTGTTCCGGGACAAAGATGGAGCACCCACCTCATACTTTTTTTTTTCTCAGTGTTAAGAATCTGGGTGTGAGAGCTCAGCCACATTTCAGAGGAAGAACTGAAGGTTCTCAATCAAGAACACTCACTTTATGCCTCTCCCTGAGGGGAAAAATGCTAATCTCTCCATTTAGAGAAGGCATATGACATAGATTTTGTTCACAAAAAGATTACAACTAGTCTAGAAGACAAAACAGAAATACAAACAATCCATATGTAGTATTCTAGAAACATTGTCTACTTTCATCATAAAGTAGCAATGCGGGTAACTAATATGTATGAATTTAAAATGGAGCAACAATACTAAGGTACTGCCCACATAACCAACAAGTTCCAGAAGAGTCGGGAAGGGAAAGACCAATATTGACTGGTATTATCAAAGGTCACTATTATTAATACTCCCACTGTTTGGCACTCAGTGGATATTTCTTTTGGCCAAACTCAATCCTTAGAAGGGAAACCTAGGCAGAAGCTTCTGACAGGCCACAATTATCTACTCCCCATTCATTCCTGTGCCAGTCCCCTTGTATAAACACTGTGATTTTCCACAGCCTACTGTGCCCACAAGACAGTCCCCAAATGGTAGCCCTGGGTTTTTTACACCTTCCTCTATTGCTGGATGCTAAAGGGACTAGACAACGAAGGAACAAATGAATGACTACCCTTCTACTACACAAGCCAGATCTCAACAAGCAGAAGTTAACACTGGCCAATCAACCTTCCCAACTCTAAATGGCACCCTATATGCTACCTTAACAGGGATGATGAGTAGGAGAAGCCCACTTTTGCCTTTGCACTCTTTCCCCCACATTCTCTACACACCCCATCAAACTTTCCACAGGCAATGTTTTCAGACAAAGGGCTTTCCAACCACACAAGCCACCTAATGCCCAAAATGCAGGTTGCCACCCAGGCACTCTACCCAAATTTGTAGAAGAAGGGAAATAGGAAATCCCCTACCTCTACCATAAACTGTTCCAAGAAAGAATTTTCTTCAAATGGCTCTGTCTTCAATCGACCTGTAATTAAGAAGAGATAGAGAAAAAGAAACGTGAGCCTAAGGATGGGCTTCAAGCCTATCAGATAATAGGGAAGAGCCTAGAACTTCTAAGAAAAGAAATCAGAGACCTGACACCCACAGAGCCCCAGGCCAGAAAGAGAAGGGTTGAGGGTATAGGACAAACAGAAGGAGAAGAAAATTGGGGGCAATTAGCAACAATAGTTCAGCAGTAGTTTACTCTAGAAGATTTTCCTGCCACAATGACAAAGGTCGTGTAGAACTTTTATTCTGAAACAAGAGCTATAGAGGTTCCTCAGCTCTAGATCCCACATTCTGCTAACACAATTTGGAATAGCTGTTAGTCCTTTCCAAAGTCTTTCCACCTCATTGTCTAAGACATATCTGGACATGGCTATTGCTTCAGCCAGTGACCTGAGGCAGACAGAAGGGACAACCAGTATCAAGTCCCCAGCTGCTAGAGTACCTAGCACCTATCCTTGAAGAGAAAATTTTGTTTGTTGTTTTGGGTTTTCATTTTGCTTTGAGACAAGGTCTGATGTACCCCAGGCTAGCTCTGAACTTACTGCATAGCCAAGGATAACTTCCTGTCCCTATCTCTTGAGTGCTGGGATCATATATGTATACCAACACTCACATGTATGCACTTCTAAGGACCAAACCCAGGAGCTGGAGTATGCCAAGCAAGCATCCCACCAACTGATCCATACCCAGCTCAAGAAGTATTTTTAATGCAAACCATACTCCCCTTTTTTCTAAGACCCTTAAACTACCAGAGCCTCCTCCCCACCCATTCCATCAAGAACGCCCTCTTACTTCGGCTCAGCACAGCCCCACTCTCCTGGTAGCCCTGGATCTCTAGGTCCTTCATCCGAAGCAATGCTGCTAGCTCCCTTCCATGACATTGCAATGCCAGGCTCATGCCCATCAGAGGACGAATTAAATGCTGAGAGACCTTTGACAAAAAGAAGTATCAATTAGCCAACAGATGCTTGCAAAGTATTCTCAAATGCTATACTAGCTACTAGAAGAAAAATATTCAGGAATAAACGTTTTCATAGGAACTTACAATTTCATAGATGAGCAATTCATTTACATGAACATAAATAAAAATACAATACATGTTAAAGAGGCTCGGGGATTTTCTTTGTAGCCCAGATATGGAATGGGAAGAATAAAGCAAGAATAGGGATGGACAGAAAATCTGCAGTTCTGAAGAGATAGCTCAGTGGTTAAGGACACTGGCTGCTCTTCCAGAAGGCATGGGATCTGTTCCCAGCACTCTCATGACAGTTCGTAACTGCCTATAACTCCAGATCAGGGGATCATGAACTCTGTGTTTGCTTCCACGGGCCCTACATGCATGGCGCACAGACATACACACAGGCAAAACACAAAGATAAAAGAAAAATCTTAAAAATAAATTAATAAAAATAAAAGGATGATACAGTTGAGAAGAGGGACATGATAACTCAAGATAAGAGCAGAAGATTCAAGGAAACCCCAACAAAGGGGTGTGGCTGAAAGAGCGCACCAACAGGAGGGAAAAAACACAGCAGAAAGATCTAGATATGTGCTATGTACTAAGAGCCATTTCAGGATTGAGAAGAGGTCAGTTTCAATCTATTCCCACAAATACCGCAGCATTTAAAGTTATTATTAAAAATAAATAAATAAATAGGCCAGTTACCAAGAGACTAGAGTGGGAAGGAACAAACCAGCCCACTTCACACACAGCACAACTACACTGAGCACTCATGCAATAATGTATGGTCACACAAAATCACTTAAGTCACCTATGAAAGGTGGCCATTAGTCTGTGGCTAGAGGATGTCATCAGTTTCTTTCGCTTTCACCAAGGGCATGAACTAAAGGACATTAAGCAAAAGAGATGCCCTAGATCGGGGGTCAGCAAACGTTTCTCGGCAAGAGCCAGATAGTCAATATTTTCAGCTTTGTGGCCCACAGAGTCTCTGCCGCAACTACTCAACTTTGCTGTTGCGGCATGCGAAAGCAGCCACAGACAATATGTAAACAAATGAGGTGGCTGTGCTCCAATATAACTCTACAAAAGCAGGCAGCAAGCCAGATCTGGCCTGCCGGCCATAGTATGCGCATCCTTAGCTAGATCTAAAGTAGGAAGCATTTTAGACAAGATACCCCAACATGGGCTTGAAATAAGGAGAAAGTACACAGGCTTGTGAGGCACCAGGCAGACTCACCTGGGTCAGGATCCCAGGCGCCCATGTTTTCATTTCCCATTAAGTCTCTAGAGAAAACTAAAAGTGTGGCTTGTGTTGCAGCTCGGGTTATAAGGAAAAGACTTTCCTATGTTTCCCTAAAGATTTGGTCAGAAGAAAAAAAGGACTGGATTGGAGGTATTGGAGGGCAGATAAGAGCAGTAGCTTTCTGTACCAGGGTCCAAGAAATGTAGGCGTCCTGACACTGGGTGTAAGGCCAAAGTCCAGTCCAGCTGTAGATAATTTTTACTTTTTTGTCACTGGCACATCCCAGCCTGGTACTGTCTCCCATCCTAGGTCCTCAGAAAGGACTTAGACCTCCAAGAAGTACTGCTCCAACTTCTGGCTTTAAGACATATCCTGGGCCTGTGAGACAGCTCGGCAAGCTGCCAAACTTGCTGACCTGAACTCAATTCCCCAGACCCACGTGGTAGGAGGAGAGCTCATTCCTTGCGAATTGTCCTCTGACTTCCCCACGTACATTGTAGCGCTCATGCACACACATAATAATTAACTCAAAACAGTGATTTAAAAAAATAAGTATTAAAAAAAAAAGATTGTCTAAACTCAACTCTATGCCCTAGGAATTATTTTGATAAGTTTGGTTCAGGTCAAGGTAGATTAGAAAAACAGGCAAATAATTGTATGAAAGCCAATGGAGGTTTGGTGGATTGAACTGAAAATAATTATCATTGCTAACCAAGCAGCCACAGTGGCCCTTTGGTGGCACCCCTCAAATAACAGAAACTCCTAATGTTAATAACCAGCCTTGCACCATGGTGGGCTGGGGAGCACCACCTTTGAGGTGCTAAATATAACAACATGAAACATGGCAAGGAATAGTTTTTAACCAATGCCATGTCTATTGAAATAAGATATCATGGTCTCAGGCAACTGGGATGATCTATTAGACTGCAACATCAATATGGAAAAAAAGTGTTTTTTTAATCAGGAAATATTTCAACTTCCCAAATAATTTCACACCACTCTGAATTCCTGTGCTATAATTAATTTCAAAGTTAGATGAACATTAAAATGATTTCTCTTGGGCCTGAGAGGGTTTCTCTATTTTTAAACTTAGATGAATGCTAGTTAGAAGTCCCCAAAATATGCATTTATTGCCATAAAAAAGGCTGGTATAAACATACAAAATAAAACAAAAGACATTCAACCATGTAGAAAGATCAGTATACCTCCAAGGGCACAACAAGGAAAAACTTAGCAGTGCTTTAGGTAAAGGACACCCTCTTTCATTCATGAAAGCAAAATATGAAGGCATGTGCTTACAAGCCAAGTCAGTCCATACCCACTGGGAACTAGGTTCTGAGGCCTCTGCCTTTGAAGAGCCTGTGATAGGCTAGAAGTGTGGTGGGTACAATAGAAGTTACCACTCATCCCCAGAGGGAGAAATACTTGTAATCCCACCCCCTAAAGTCTTCTATTTCCTGCAGAGTGTTTGTGAGTCCTAGGCAAGGGAGCATTGGAGCCAATGAGCTGTATCAGTCAGTACAGTGAAACCATTGGCAGACTGGAGAAATTATTATAAGCCCATAGCGATGCTGTAACTGACATTTGACAGATGGAGAAATTGAGTAAAAAAAAAAAAAACCTATCTTAATCCAAGGTAATACATGTAATCTAAATGTAGTAAGGTAGATTGTGACTTCGTCTTCTGGTTCCAAAGCTTATGTTCTTCCTATCACTAAGAAACTCTGGGTGCGACCCCTAGGAATCATTAAAAAAAAATGGTGACAAATCTGAAAGTGAAAATAGAATATCAAGAATTCTGTCAGATGCACACCTGTAATCCCAGTGCACAGGAGGCTGAGGCAAGCACACAGGGGCTGGAGAGGTGTCTGGGGGTTAAGAGCACTGGCTGCTGCTCTTGCAGAGGACCTGGGTTCAGTCCCCATTACCCACATAGTGGCTCACAACTGTCAGTAACTCCAGTTCCAAGAAATCAGATGCCATCCCTGGCCTCTGGACACCAGACATGCACATGATGCACACACTACATGCAAGCAAAATACACATAAAATAAACCCAATAAAAACTTAAACAGAAAAAGAAAAACAGATACTTGAAAGAACAGACAATAGGAAAAGGGAAGCATAAAGAGAAATTTGTCACAAGTAGAGAAAGATGCAGAATCATGAAGCAGAGACCCAAAGCCTTGCCTATTCCACAATTATTACAGAGAATTAATAACACATGTGATGTCTCGCACCTGTAATCTCAGCATCTGGGAAACAGAGGCAGAAGTATTTCAAACTTGAGCTGGGCTAAAAGCAACATTCCATCAAGGATGGCCAAGAATATGCCTCAGCTCATAACATTTGTCTTGAATGCATAAAGCCCTAGGTTCAATCCCCAGCACCACAGAGAGCCCGGCAGCACACCTGGAATCCTAGCTCTGAGGAGGTGGGGGCAGGAGGAAAGAAACTGAAGGGTCCTTGGTTACATTGTGATTTTGAGGATAGCCTGGACTACATGTGATTCTCTCAAAGAGGAGGGAGGAAGGGAGGGAGGGAGGGAGGGAGGGAGGGAGGAAAAGAGAATAAACAGAAAGCTGGTGTCAGTAATCAGTAATTGCTTTAGAAGGAAAATAAGAGAGTAGACAGAACGCCTGTTTGTTTAACTGTATACCTTTAAATGCTGCATGAAATGTTTGTCTTTGGCATGAATTGCCCATTCAAAAAAAAAAAGTAAATGAAAACTATCACAAGAATGAATAACAGACAAAACTTCCAACCGCATGACCTCACAGACACACACACCCGCCTAAAGTAGTAGCCGCCTACATCCCTGAGAGTGTCTACCAGCTCCAGCTTCTTCCCTGCAAAACTCCCTGCAGCCAGGGGTTTCCCTGGGATAGCAGTCTTCTTTGTTTCATGATAAAGACTTTATCTGAACTTAAAATATACTTGTTAACCAATCTGTTCTAAGCCAACATCTCCCTGGGGCCAAACAAAACTCTCCTTTAAACACTAAAGCATCTTTCCCATGACAGTTCCTCAGCTAGAAGACTGCACTAAAACAATTACCTTTGCCTTTCATTTTTCCTCAATTATTTTATCATTACTCAAGTGTTCTTTATTGCCTTTCCCCTCCAGGGCTGGAGCTCCTGGCCCATGCTAAATAAGTGCTTTAACACTGAGCTGGCTACAGCCCTGACTTATTCTGTACCTTTGAAAGAAGAAATTACTAGAGGAAACCTCCAGGAAAGCTGCCTCCTCACTCACACTAGTCTGAATTTGTAGGACTATATAATACACGAAGAGACTAGCTACTGATAGGGACTCTCAAAGGTGGTTCAAATGGATAGGTGCCAGAATAAGCATCATTGAGGAAACAGTGCCCCCTGGTGCCACCTAGAAAAAAAACCAGGGACTGAAATTCTGTACATAAAGATGGAAGAGTTCACAAGAAATTCAATTAAAGTCATCAAATATGAGGGCTAATTACATAACAGGACTTATGGATGGGCCTTAGCAGTTTTTTTTACAAAGTCAGCCATAATGGTGCACAGCTGTAGCCATGGCTACTTGGGAGACTGTGGCGGTCTTGCCCCAGGAGTTAGAGTCCAGGCTTGGCAATGTTAAAGAACACCCTTGTAGCAGTGGGAGAATGCATGGCGTACAATGTGAGGCCCTAGGCTCGATCCCCAGTACCACAAACAAACCAGTGGTGAATGAGTGGCTCTGGCACTCAAGGA